TAGCATGCCGTGGCATGACAAAGCAATAGCAATAAATGATTCCTTGTTTTTTTAAAAAAGTATTTTGACCTAAGTTTTGAACATCTTGATATGAAACATATTTATTTCATTTATTCCTCAGTTTCTCCTGCCTGTTGTTTACTTATAAAGAGTGTGCAAATTAGAGTCACATGTTTTAAATCTTAGAGCAAAATGTCATGCAGAAAATAATGGAATTGGTATTAGATCCTCAGAAATGGGTAGCTGTTTCTGAGTTTCATCTAAACATTTGAAGTCTGTAAAAATCACATATTTGACATCTCATGATTTGGCATGAATTTAACATCAAAATAATTACTGCAGTCAATATTGAAAGGCTTTTTTAAAGAGGAGTGTATGTTAAAAACTAACAACTCTTTGAGAGAAAAATGTATTTTTTATTTATAGTTTAAAATTATTAATTTGGAGTGCCTTAACAGTTTTGCTCATATTTTAATTATAATACAAACTATAAGACCAGGCTTCCTTCTTTGCCATTATGTGTTGGACTTTTTTCTATGGCAAACACTACCATTCTGGAGAGTCAAGTTCTCTCAGAATAAGCAAAAGAACAGATCTCAGTTACATTTTTAATTTCTACAAATCACCTTTTAGTTACTGTCCTATCTAATGGAGGTTGGGGCTAATCATTTCTTAATTTAGAAATGTTGAATTTTGTACTATGAACTTGAATAAAAATGCACTGCCCCTAAGTTCATAGGTATATCTTTTAAATGAATTACAGTTTAGTTTCAGTTGAACTATGGTAGTTATGCAATGATTTAGGTGGTAAACATGTAGCTAATAGAAAGAATATCCATAAAATTTCACCTAATTTTATACAAATTTGCTATGCTCATTAAGATGTTCATCAGAAAAGTAAGTACAACTTGAACTTGAAACTTTTTTTATTAACTTTTGGGTAGCTTTGAGGTTGAAAGCATGAGACTAAAATTATTGGCAAAAATTGGGTTTAGAACTGCAGTTGTATATAGATTTCAATTACACATACTACCCATTTCTCCATCACACCTCAGCAAACTGAAAGTTTGATATATTAACTTATTATATTATCTTCATTCCAGAAGCTTTTTACTTATGAGTTTCAGCTTACTTGTGAATTAAAAAAAAATAGTAGACCCCTTCTATGTTAACATTCTGGCTTCATACTCAGCAGCATTATCTGTCTCTTCTTTCTCTCTTTTCTCCCCAAACTTTTACTGTCCTCTTGCTTTTGATTTTCAACTCTATCCTTGAAGAGGAGGAAAAAATGCACTCTCCTTTCTACCAAATAAAAAGAAGCAAAACATAAAACTTAACTTTAAAATATGAACTGTTTCTGCCTCCTTACGTAAGTTCTTCACCTATCCTAGTCTGTTTGCGTTTTATTACGGAGAGTTTATAAAACTATTTCATATATTCACACTCGTGTCACCTTAGAATTCTGCTCTTTAGAATCATGAAGAATGCCATTTTCCATCTGTCTGGGCAAATTAGACAGTTGGATCCTCAATAAATACTCATAAATGATGGGCATGTTTTTGTACAACATTATTGAGACGTTATTACACGATAGAAAAAAACTTCACTGGAATCCTGTAAAGTTAATGTTCTGACACCTAATGGACTTCCATCATTATAGCTGTTTTCTTGTTTTCACTGTTTATTCACTGCTCCCTTCTTCATATATCAGGGTTCAAGCCATAAATCCGTTGTTTTTAAATTCCCAAAGCAGAAAATACCAGTTGAAATATTCAACCTGACTCTTCTTGTTTTTGTGGTCCATGCAGGTGGTTCAGCCTC